GAAGATACGTCCAGTAAAATTAAGAGACTTTGTTGAATTGTAATTTTGTGTTTATAATTCTGTACATTTTAATTAAGTTATTGTTAATTATTATTGGTTTATTGTAAGTGGCTATTGTTCGGGACGAACAATACTAAGGAGGGGCAGTGTTGCGTCATCAAGGTCACGTGAATGGTGTGGCGCCACCTATTTTCTAGAACTATCCCGTACCTTGGCGAATGCTCTAGTATTTACTAGATATAGGGTAGCTGGTATATAAAAGAGGGTGAGAACGTGACGGAAGAAGAATGTAATGTGTGTGTAGATAGTGAGTAATTGAACTGCAGTCACAGGGTATTGTTAAAGTTAACGTTCGTTCGTTATAGTGTTTGTTTTAGCGCGAATATTGAAATTAAGTGTATCGTAAAGTTATATTCGGAAAAAATAAACCAGTTTTATTAAGTAAAGACTTGTGTCGTTAAAGTTTCGTCGGAACGAAGTTACGGAAAAATCAATAAACAAACGGAGACGTAACAATATGTTAGAGTAGGACTAACAGTAGAAAAGAAGATAAGAAGAATAATTTATTCCGTCAAAGCGTTGTTCTAAAGTAATTGAATTAGCCTAAGTGCACTATTTAGAAGAAAGAATACCAAACGATTACGGTAACTCGCGCCACAATTGTAAATGATTCACACACAGAATACTAGTGCGTTAGTTATAGAGAAGATAGTTCGGCTTGTCAAATGAAATTCTAAAGCTGCTGAGTAGGCCTAAGTGGACGTTTAACAACAAGAAAAGAACTATATATATGTAGGGTTAATGATACGTCTATAATCTCTATAGTGTAAAGAATTTGTTGTACATATGTTTAATTTGTTCCGAATATACATGTATATATATATTATTTTTGAAAACAATTGAAATGCGTGCTTTTCATTTATCGTTGAATGTATCGTCAACAAGTCACAGACACCTACTGTAGAAGAATCCCAAGCCCAACAACAACACAGTATATATTTATACTATTAAAAAGTATAAGTAAAAGCCTTTTATTTCGACAATTGGAGAAAAAAGAATTATATTTATAAATTCTGACAACTAGCCATTCCTAATTTTGAAGTGGTAGACTAGAGGGAAGGCAGTTAATCAAAACCATCCACTGCCAACTCTTGTGCTACTATTTATCGACGAATAGTGGTATTGACCGTCACATTATAACGCCCTCACGGCTGAAAGAATGGATGGGATTCGAACTTGCGACTCTCAGATTATCTTAGCCACAAGACCATGCTAGGCCGTGGGTTTATTACCTCTTAAAGCACTTGCAATTTTATTTGTCTATTTCTGTAAGCGCAAAGCTGCAAATTAATTAGACTAAACACACTATGTTCTCTGTAGGGGTTGAATCCTGA